GAAAAGTTATCGATACATTTTGGTTTTCTATAGAGTGTTATCGATAAATTTGTTTTTTCATAGCAAATATATCAATAATTTAGAAAAGTTATCAATAACTTTGGTTTCTATAGAATAGTTATCGATAACATTGATTTTCTATAGAAAACTTTATTTTTCTATAAATATGTTATCGATAACTTTTGTTTTCTATAGAAAAGTTGTCAATAACTTTTGTTTCCTGTAGAAAGATTTTTAATAACTTTGGATTCCTATAATTGGATTCCGTAATCGATAACTTTGGTTTTCTATAGTAAAGTTATCAATAACTTTAGTTTTATATATAAAAGTTATCGATAACTTTGGTTTTCTATAGAAAAGTTATAGAAAACTTTGATTTTCTATAGAAAAGTTATCGAAAAATTTGATTTTCTATAGAAAAGTTATCGATAACTTTAGTTTTCTATAAAAAAGTAATCGATAACTTATATTTTCTTTACGAAATTAATCGATAACATTGATTTTCTATAGAAAAGTTATCGATAATATCGGTTTTCCATAGAAAGTCATCTACTTTTAAAAGTTTCTATAGAAAAATTATTAATAATTTCAGTTTTCTAGAGAAATATTTTCGACAACATTACCTTTCTATAGAAAAGTTTTCGATTATTTTGGTTGGAAAAGTTATCGATAACTTTAGTTTTCCATAAAAAGCCATAGATTTTTATATTTTCGCTATATTATCGAAAATTTATCATTCAATATTTTGTAGGAATTACTTTTTGTAGTACTCTAGCTGTACTGCTCCACGTATACGTAATATTTATTAATCATGAATTAATTATAAAGTATACGTACTGTATAACAAATTCATATATTTTAAGGTAAAAACATCAGAATAACGTTAGTTTTTTTTCTATTTTTTCATATTTGCCAAGTTAAACGTGTAATTTTATGACAAGAACAAGAGAAACCAACAGCAATATACAATAATTTACACTATTAGTTAATATGGTTTCTCGATACCCTAAAGTGTTTTATATACAGACAGAGTCAATGTTTTCATTACATATTCCCCAGTTCCCCTCTCAAACATTAAAATTCCCAGTTTGTAAAAAAAACTTTAGCACAAAATACCTTTCAAAGTATGCTTAAGTATTTGTTAGCAACATATTAAATTAGGTTAGGTTAGGTATTCAGGCTGCAAAGACGCACACTTGGGTCCTGTTGGTCCCTTTGTGATACCTGTAAAGATAATAAAATATAAAAGAAAGAGGGTAGAGGATAGTAGAAGATAGTTTAGGATTAAGTCATAGAAGAGAAATTGAAGTGGAAGAGAAGATTGAGAGGTCTGTCCTTGCGGACTAGTGAGTGCCTTAATTATGGCTTGGTGGTCCTAAAACCAGTTACTGTGCCTGATGAAGGCATTTATGTTATCCAGTCCTAGATTGGATAGTTCTGACAAGTCATCAAATAGTCGTTTTCCTAGATATACTGATCGAGTGTCCGCTAGCGCCGGGCATTGACAGAGAAGATGTTCGATGGATTCTTCCTCCTCTTCGTCTTGACAGCTTCTACAGAAGTCGTTGTGGGGAATTCCAAGTCTTCTTGCATGGTTTCCCAATGAGATATGCCCCGTAATGACAGCAACAAGGTTGCTGATATGAGGGCGGTTTAGTTGCAGAAGATATGACGTGCGTTTACTGTCCAAATTTGGCCATATCTTCCTTGTATTGATACAAGTTGGTTCATTACGCCATCTTGTCTGAGAAATTTCATAGAACTTTCCATCTATTATGGTCTTGCAAGCTTTTAGCGGTATTCCGCAAAAGATGTCTATGTCTCTGTCGGACATTGAGGCTCCTAGTTTCGCTAATTCATCAGCGATATAGTTGCCAGTCAAATCCCCGTGTCCCCGTACCCATTTGAGCACGATTATTGAATGTCTCGCCATCCTGTTTAAGGATGCCCGGCATTCCTGGACTAGTTTAGATGTAGTATATACACCAATCAGGGATTTGATAGCAGCTTGGCTGTCGGTACAAATTTGAATATCTCTGTTTGATATTCTGTAGTACCAAAGCCAATTTGCTGCTCTTTTTATGGCTGATAGTTCAGCCTGTAGTGGACTACAATTATTCTGTATCCTAAAGCTTATTTTAGTTCCAAATTCAGGGATAAAAATGCCACCTCCAACTCGTTCCCCTTTTTTAGAACCATCCGTATATACCAGGAGGGTTCTTGGTTCTAAACATATTAAATTACTTGTTTAGAAAAGTGTTTACACTGACAAAGTTATTTTTGAAAAAGGGAAAAATTACTTGGATATTTGTTTAGGTTTTTTAGGTAAACCTTGTTGTTTAAATATATTTTACTTATTTTTAAGACATTTCGCTGTTAATGTAAACGCTTTGTTTTAATCTATTTATAATATGGCTTAAAGTATTTTTGCCCTCCACACGTGTTAGTAGATGTTTTCTCTAGAGTTGGAACTGAATTATGGTTTTGGTTTTAACGGAAATTCATTAATATTATAATTACAAAGAACTCTTGCTGTTTAACAATATTTAAAACAACGACTGAAGTTTTTAGAAATTGGCTATTTTACATCATTATTTTCTAACCTCAAATTATATGACCTTTAACCTTAACAATCTCTTATAACCTCAAAGGTATACAATTTCTATAGAATTGCCAACATTTTAAATAATATTCTTAAATTCTATAAAAAATTGTTATTGAATATTATTTAAATTAATATTTATTTTATTCTCTTATTTGATCTACAGTTTTATAACAAAACCCACGCATAAATAAAAAAAAAATACCAAATTTAATAAATTTTAAATGACATTTTTAAACCATAAATAAGTATAAATATGAGTATGTGTGTATGGATGGCTGTGTACAAAAGAATCGTAAATTAATTACCACAATTCTGGTTATTTTGGTAATAATAGCAAAAATTCCATAAAAACACACAATAATGCCACAGACTTAAATACTCATTTCACAACAAATATTTGTTTAAAGTTTAAGAGAGGAAAAAATATACAAAAAAACTATCACAATGAAAAATCTATGCATTTGACATTGATTGGCATGATGACAAAAATCATTAAAAATGGTCAGTACAATAATGTATGATGTTTTTATAAGTTTAAATAAAAAAATCAATTACTTGTTACAGAAAAAATTTTAAAAAATACACACACATAAAAACCTATAAAAGCCTGATGAGTTATATTTACACCACTTTTATATAAAAAGTTATATTGTATGAAAAAGTAAGTTTTAATCCATGGAAATGAACTATACATGACCTATGGAATACAAAAAACTAAATATTTAAAAATATCAATTAGTTGATATTAAATATGAAATAAAATGCACAATTTATAGGGAATTAATCAATTTAACTATGAAATTTTTTGTACTAAGGAAAAGATATTTTGAGTTTCCGTTTTACTTTACAAAAATAAATCTGAAAAATTTTATATGTAAAATGCAAAGTATCAACTACAGAACTGAACTAGAACAGAACTAGAACAGAACTAGAACAGAACTAGAACAGAACTAGAACAGAACTAGAACAGAACTAGAATCGAACTAGAACAGAACTAGAACAGAACTAGAACAGAAAGAACAGAACTAGAACAGAACTAGAACAGAACTAGAACAGAACTAGAACAGAACAGAACTAGAACAGAACTAGAACAGAAACTAGAACAGAACTAGAACAGAACTAGAACAAGACTAAACAGAACTAGAACAGAACTAGAACAGAACTAGAACAGAACTAGAACAGAACTAGAACAGAACTAGAACAGAACTAGAACAGAACTAGAACAGAACTAGAACAGAACTAGAACAGACTAGAACAGAACTAACAGAACTAGAACAGAACTAGAACAGAACTAGAACAGAACTAGAACAGAACTAGAACAGAACTAGAACAGAACTAGAACAGAACTAGAACAGAACTAGAACAGAACTAGAACAGAACTAGAACAGAACTAGAACAGAACTAGAACAGAACTAGAAACAGAACTAGAACAGAACTAGAACAGAACTAGAACAGAACTAGAACAGAACTAGAACAGAACTAGAACAGAACTAGAACAGAACTAGAACAGAACTAGAACAGAACTAGAACAGAACTAGACAGAACTAGAACAGAACTAGAACAGAACTAGAACAGAACTAGAACAGAACTAGAACAGAACTAGAACAGAACTAGAACAGAACTAGAACAGAACTAGAACAGAACAGAACTAGAACAGAACTAGAACAGAACTAGAACAGAACTAGAACAGAACTAGAACAGAACTAGAACAGAACTAGAACAGAACTAGAACAGAACTAGAACAGAACTAGAACAGAACTAGAACAGAACTAGAACAGAACTAGAACAGAACTAGAACAGAACTAGAACAGAACTAGAACAGAACTAGAACAGAACTAGAACAGAACTAGAACAGAACTAGAACAGAACTAGAACAGAACTAGAATAAAACTAGAACATAACTAGAACAGCACTAGAACAGAAAATGGACAGAACTAGAACTTAACTATTATTTGGTTTTTCAATTAACGTAGCTGCATATGTATCTTTTCTTTAGCTCATCCCATGGAGCGTATACTTTATTTTTTCCCCCATATCATAACAATAACAACTCATACGTCAAGTTGTCTGCAATAATTCTAACAGAAGTCTTAAAAGATTTTAATAAAAGTTCTGCTTTGTGCATAAAAATCCTTATACCTTAAAAATAATTACTTTTTTTTAAATAAGCATTTTTAAGCACTTCCTGTTATTAACAAAAGAAACATTTAGTTTTGTTAGTGTACGTAAAAATAAACCATGTATGTAAAGCATAATAAAATTTGTTCACAAATAATCACAAATGTTAATGAAGTCGTACGGAAATTAAGTATAAAGCAACGAAAATCATAAAAAATGTATTATTAATAATTATATGTATGTATATAATAAAAATAAAATATTAAAATTAATTAACCTTGTGCAAATTATACATGCATTGAGCAATTCCTCTATCAGGTATATTATTATTATCCAGCCAATCCTGCAAATAAAAATGCATGAGTGTGAAATTGTTTTATAAAAAAAAGAATTAATGTTTGTCTTAAAAATGAAGTGTATATGTTATAAAAATCAATCAGTGGATTTATGAATGAAAAGAATTAATGAAGAAAAAACAGAAAGGAAAAGTTATAATAAAAACGTGTGACACTTTATATAAATACCCCCAAAATAAGGTGTGAAAATAAAGAAGAGGAAATCAACAGCAAATAGTAAAATTAATTATAAATTGCATAAAAAACTTTGGATTTGTATTTATTCAGTTCGCAAAAGCAAGACGTAGTAAAAGTTTTTTTTTTTGTGCTTAAAAGCAAACAACAAGAACAACACCAATATTAAAGGAAACGGAAATAAATGTGAGAATAATGGTGACAAATTGAAATAAAATTATTATACTCTATACTTATACATATAACAAAGAAATCAAAAGAAAGTGCCAGCAACGTAAAGCCGAAAGAAAAGAAAAGTAGTGAAAACAATTTCGAACAAATTACACAAATGAAAAACTTGTGCGCAAATAAAATGAAATAAAAATATAATGAAAAGTGTTTGCAACAAGGATTAAGTTTTGTAAGTAGTTAATAGTTATTGTAACTATTATTTTGCTGTAGTTTTTCCTCTTTGTTGCAGTTGTTGCTTTAGTCATTATTAAAACATCCCCAGAGCCCAATAATAAACAACAATGACCACCGCCCCTTAATGTCTACTATTATAAATATTTTAGTGACAATGACCAAACAACATTGCCTTTTGAATTTTTTAAAACGAAGGACATTTTTTTGGCGAAGAGATTGGTGAAAGAATAGACTTTTCGTATTTAAATAATTTAAAACACAGTGTCTCTCTAAAATAGAACAGAGTTAGAACAGAACTAGAACAGAACTAGAATAGAACTAGAACTAGAACTAGAACAGAACTAGAACAGAACTAGAACAGAACTAGAACAGAACTAGAACAGAACTAGAACAGAACTAGACAGACTAGAACAGAACTAGAACAGAACTAGAACAGAACTAGAACAGAACTAGAACAGAACTAACAGAACTAGAACAACTAGAACAACTAGAACAGAACTAGAACAGAACTAGAACAGAACTAGAACAGAACTAGAACAGAACTAGAACAGAACTAGAACAGAACTAGAACAGAACTAGACAGACTAGAACAGAACTAGAACAGAACTAGAACAGAACTAGAACAGAACTAGAACAGAACTAGAACAGAACTAGAACTAGAACAGAACTAGAACAGAACTAGAACAGAACAGAACAGAACTAGAACAGAACTAGAACAGAACTAGAACAGAACTAGAACAGAACTAGAACAGAACTAGAACAGAACTAGAAGAACTAGAACCGAACTAGAACAGAACTAGAACAGGAACTAGAACAGAACAGAACAGAACTAGAACAGAACTAGAACAGAACTAGAACAGAACTAGAACTAGCACTATGAAAAGAACTAGAACAGAACTAGAACAGAACTAGAAACTAGAACAGAACTGAACAGAACTAGAACAACTAGAACAGAACTAGAACAGAACTAGAACAGAACTAGAACAGAACTAGAACAGAACTAGAACAGAACTAGAACAGAACTAGAACAGAACTAGAACAGAACTAGAACAGAACTAGAACAGAACTAGAACAGAACTAGAACAGAACTAGAACCGACAGAACAGACTAACAGAACTAGAACAGAACTAGAACAGAACTAGAACAGAACTAGAACAGAACTAGAACAGAACTAGAACAGAACTAGAACAGAACTAGAACAGAACTAGAACAGAACTAGAACAGAACTAGAACAGAACTAGAACAGAACTAGAACAGAACTAGAACAGAAACTAGAACAGAACTAGAACAGAACTAGAACAGAACTAGAAACAGAACTAGAACAGAACTAGAACAGACTAGAACAGAACTAGAACAGAACTAGAACAGACTAGAACAGAACTAGAACAGAACTAGAACAGAACTAGAACAGAACTAGAACAGAACTAGAACAGAAACTAGAACAGAACTAGAACAGAACTAGAACGAACTAGAACAGAACTAGAACAGAACTAGAACAGAACTAGAACAGAACTAGAACAGAACTAGAACAGAACTAGAACAGAACTAGAACAGAACTAGAACAGAACTAGAACAGAACTAGAACAGAACTAGAACAGAACTAGAACAGAACTAGAACAGAACTAGAACAGAACTAGAACAGAACTAGAACAGAACTAGAACAGAACTAGAACAGAACTAGAACAGAACTAGAACAGAACTAGAACAGAACTAGAACAGAACTAGAACAGAACTAGAACAGAACTAGATCAGAACTAGAACAGAACTAGAACAGAACTAGAACAGAACTAGAACAGAACTAGAACAGAACTAGAACAGAACTAGAACAGAACTAGAACAGAACTAGAACAGAACTAGAACAGAACTAGAACAGAACTAGAACAGAACTAGAACAGAACTAGAACAGAACTAGAACAGAACTAGAACAGAACTAGAACAGAACTAGAACAGAACTAGAACAGAACTAGAACAGAACTAGAACAGAACTAGAACAGAACTAGAACAGAACTAGAACAGAACTAGAACAGAACTAGAACAGAACTAGAACAGAACTAGAACAGAACTAGAACAGAACTAGAACAGAACTAGAACAGAACTAGAACAGAACTAGAACAGAACTAGAACAGAACTAGAACAGAACTAGAACTAGAACTGAACTAGAACAGAAACTAGAAGACTAGAACAGAACTAGAACAGAACTAGAACAGAACTAGAACAGAACTAGAACAGGAACTAGAACTGAACTAGAACAGAAGTAGAACAGAACTAGAACAGAACTAGAACAGAACTAGAAACAGAACTAGAACAGAACTAGAACAGAACAGAACTAGAACTAGAACAGAACTAGAACGAACTAGAACTAGAACTAGAACAGAACTAGAACAGAACAGAACTAGAACTAGAACAGAACTAGAACTAGAACAACAGACAACTAGAACAGAACTAAACAGAACTAGAACAGAACTAGAACTAGAACAGAACTAGAACAGAACTAGTAACTAGAACAGAACTAGACAGAACTAGAACTGAACTAGAACAGAACTAGAACAGAACTAGAACTAGAACAGAACTAGAACAGAACTAGAACAGAACTAGAACAGAATAGAACAGAACTAGAACAGAACTAGAACAGAACTAGAACAGAACTAGAACAGAACTAGAACAGAACTAGAACAGAACTAGACAGAACTAGAACAGAACTAGAACAGAACTAGAACAGAACTAGAACAGAACTAGAACTAGAACGAACGAAACTAGAACAGAAACTAGAACAGAACTAGAACAGAACTAGAACAGAACTAGAACAGAACTAGAACTAGAACAGAACTAGAACAGAACTAGAAACAGAACTAGAACAGAACTAGAACAGAACTAGAACAGAACTAGAACAGAACTAGAACAGAACTAGAACAGAACTAGAACAGAACTAGAACAAACTAGAACAGAACTAGAACAGAACTAGAACAGAACTAGAACAGAACTAGAACAGAACTAGAACAGAACTAGAACAGAACTAGAACAGAACTAGAACAGAACTAGAACAGAACTAGAACAGAACTAGAACAGAACTAGAACTAGAACAGAACTAGAACAGAACTAGAACAGAACTAGAACAGAACTAGAACAGAACTAGAACAGAACTAGAACAGAACTGAACGAACTAGAACTAGAACTAGAACTAGAACTAGAACTAGAACTAGAACTAGAACAGAACTAGAACTAGAACAGAACTAGAACAGAACTAGAACAGAACTAGAACAGAACTAGAACTAGAACAGAACTAGAACAGAACTAGAACAGAACTAGAACAGAACTAGAAAAGAACTAGAACAGAAATAGAACAGAACTAGAACAGAACTAGAACAGAACTAGACAGAACTAGAACAGAACTAGAACAGAACTAGAACAGAACTAGAACAGAACTAGAACAGAACTAGAACAGAACTAGAACAGAACTAGAACAGAAACTAGAACAGAACTAGAACAGAACTAGAACAGAACTAGAACAGAACTAGAACAGAACTAGAACAGAACTAGAACAGAACTAGAACTGAACTAGAACTGAACCTGAACTGAACTAGAACTGAACTAGAACTGAACTAGAACTGAACTAGTACTGAACTAGAACTGAACTAGAACTGAACTAGAACTGAACTGGAATGAACTAGAACTAAACTAGAACTGAACAAGAACTAGAACAGAACTAGAGATGAACTAGATCTAAACAAGAACTGAACTAGAACTGAACTTCATCTGAACTAGAACTGCACTTCAACTCAAATATAGACAAAGGTAGTTTATCTCACTTTCGAAATAAACATGTCTCCTGTTGTTTTAATTAATTATTTCCATTCTGGCCTAAACCTCTGTAACCACCTAACAAAACGTTTATTTAACAAACTAGTTCATACCTATGAGTAATTGACATCACGTTTGTAATTTTAATTAAAATTTATATTTTAACTCAAATGTTCCACCATAATTGTAAAAGTCATCTAGTACTCGACACTTTCAATCATACAAATAAATAAAATTATAATTCAGCAAAACCTCCTGCAAGTCATACTATTGCTAACAACAATTTCAAATAAAATTTAAACAAATACTAGAGGAGGAGAAAATGAAATAGTAAAACAAAAAATTATTATTATTATTATTATAAACACAAAAAGTATAGAAAGAACTAAAAACATTTAAGTTTATAAACACGTCTCACTAATACAAGGAGTCTTGCGTTTTTAGGTTTATTTTATTCTCAAACAAAAGGAACACTAAAAAGGATAAAAAAGGATTTACAATATTACTTTCTTTCGTTTTATAAAACACAACTTTTACTCTTGTTTCGACATGCACGCCGGAGAAAAAAAGAGGAAATAGGAAATAAAATTGTGTGTGTGTGTGCGTAAGGAATAGAAAGAGTTAGAGAAGTCTGTGGCAATATTAAAGTAGAAAACAAACTTTTACTTTTCTTTGTATTCTATACAAACATTCCACTCACACACACACACACTGTCACATACATAAATCCATACAATAATAAAAACAAGTCAAGTATGTGCATGATTACACTTTAAAGTTAATCATGAGTCATGTTCACAAACAAGTACAAGCACATACAACAACCACATTACATGTTGTTGCATGTTGTGAGGCAAGACGACAGTAGCACCATTACATGTTGATATTAGGATAGAGTAGAGCGAAGTTCTTAAGGAAATGTTTTCTTGCTTTTCATCTTTGTTTTCATTATTTTTTTGTAGTTGTTGTGGTTTATTTACACCACTTTACTTTACCTGAAAACGTAACATCACGAACATGACAACGAATACGAGACACAAGCACAAACCGATTATGGGAAAACTGACTAAATAACGGAATGCACGTCGTTTCCACGCCGGGTGCTTCTTTGGGCTCTTAAACGTCCGGTGACATTGTTCTCGACGAGGGGACCCCTAAAAAGGAAGGAAATAAATAAATGAATGAGATAAATACTGTTTCTTTTTGTCCAGTTCTAGTTGTTCTGGTTTGTTCTATCGGTTCTAGTTCTGTTCTAGTTCTGTTCTAGTTCTGTTCTAGTTCTGTTCTAGTTTCTAGTTGTTCTAGTTCTGTTCTAGTTCTGTTCTAGTTCTGTTCTAGTTCTGTTCTAGTTCTGTTCTAGTTCTGTCTAAGTTCTGTTCTAGTTCTGTTCTAGTTTCTGTTCTAGTTCTGTTCTAGTTTCTGTTCTAGTTCTGTTCTACTTCTGTTCTAGTTCTGTTCTAGTTCTGTTCTAGTTCTGTTCTAGTTCTGTTCTAGTTCTGTTCTAGTTCTGTTCTAGTTCTGTTCTAGTTCTGTTCTAGTTCTGTTTCTAGTTCTGTTCTAGTTCTGTTTTCTAGTTCTGTTCTAGTTCTGTTCTAGTTCTGTTCTAGTTCTGTCTAGTTCTGTTCTGTTCTAGTTCTGTTCTAGTTCTGTTCTAGTTCGTTCTAGTTCTGTTCTAGTTCTGTTCTAGTTCTGTTCTAGTTCTGTTCTAGTTCTGTTCTAGTTCGGTTCTAGTTCTGTTCTAGTTCTGTTCTAGTTCTGTTCTAGTTCTGTTCTATTCTGTCTAATCACTGTTCTAGTTCTGTTCTAGTTTTTCTAGTTCTGTTCTAGTTCTGTTCTAGTTCTGTTCTAGTTCTGTTCTAGTTCTGTTCTAGTTCTGTTCTAGTTTTTGTTTTTCTGTTCTAGTTCTGTTCTAGTTCTGTTCTAGTTCTGTTCTAGTTCTGTTCTAGTTCTGTTCTAGTTCTGTTCTAGTTCTGTTCTAGTTCTGTTCTATTGTCTAGTTCTGTTCTAGTTCTGTTCTAGTTCTGTTCTAGTTCTGTTCTAGTTCGTTTCTAGTTCTGTTCGTTCTAGTTCTGTTCTAGTTCTGTTCTAGTTCTGTTCTAGTTCTGTTCTAGTTCTGTTTTAGTTCTGTTCTAGTTCTGTTCTAGTTCTGTTTTAGTTCTGTTTTAGTTCTGTTCTAGTTCTGTTCTAGTTCTCTTACCTTATACAAAGGTCTCGGTGGTTCCAAAAGTTCTGGTGGCGTTGATAAAGTTCCCCAACGAAAAGCCAACTCAACGGAGTAACGTTTCCAAGCCTCCAGATACAAAGAAGCCCAGGCCACATTAAACAGAGAGAATAAAACATGACCCATATCCTGAGCCGTTTGACCTTTACCCCAGAGAAAAGCATATAAAATTGTGCCAAAAACAGCAGGAACTCCCAAAGCACAAGTGTAGTGGCCTAACCAAGCAAAATACAAAGCCACCTTACACCAAAATATTCAGCAATATCATCTAAAGGAACAAACGAACCAAAATTGCTCAATTCAGTAGCAAAAAGACAACCAAATATTCCGTAATTTACCCAAAGGTTGTGGTGCAAACACCTGTCTAACCCAACTATACTGCAGCTGAGTCAGGGTTTTAGTTTCATGCAAAGGAAATATTTGTGTGATGAGACCAGTCTCTTGCCAAGCAGCCACTATACTTTGACCCTCTTCCACTGCTGCCCTACCCTGCAGAGCTTCTATATCTGTTTGTCCTGCACGCAGACCTTGTAGAACTTGCAAAACCAACCATTGACGTTCCTGAGAGGTGAAGAGAGATGTATTGCCGTCATCGCTTTTGATCTGTTGAAAACAATGACTTTCGCGGGTTGTAAATTCACGTAAGGCACCACCTAAATCAGGACGTAAACGTTTTGGCAAACGAGCCTCTTCCGCAGCTCGAAACAAACTACAAAGCATAAAAAATGTTTGTAAAAGAAATGTTAAAAGGAAAAAAAAAAACGAAAAAATGAAATCATTATTGTAATGGATTTCCGTTTCCATTACCTCCATTAACCACATGTGTATGTGTACAAAACACTTAATACAGTTTTTTGATATATTTCCCATAATGTTTGTAAATAGTTATTTAATCTATAAAAGAATACTTTTGCTCATACTTACATATTTGTGGGAGCACTTATATAGAAAGCATTTCGCCTTGAACTTTCATGGGCCTTAACCTGCACTACCAAACCCAAACCAGCGGGTGGTTGTGAGCGTATGCGTGCTAGTAACCATCTTAATGCCTCATCGGGTGCATCTTCGGGAAATTCTATAACAACATCACATTGTGTGGGTATTTTATTCAGCCACAATCTGCGTGGAGTCATCAAGTGGCCAGCATATGGTACTTTACGTCTTAATTGTCGGGAAGCTGCAAGTTGAAAAAGTAAGAGGCAAATTGTTATTAAGTTACGAAACTACAACTATTTTGTAATTTATCTTTTTCTCTAACATTGTTGTTTTTAAAAGTTTTTCTTTAACAGATTCTTGTTGGATACTTAAATGAAGGAGTACATTCATTTATCAGTTAAACAAAATTACTCAAACATTGTCTACGTTTAGTTTAAGTTTAAACTTGATTAAATGTTTTCAAAAACTATTTCTTTGTCATTAAGTAAAAGGCATTTTTTATCACTACAACTTTTACTTAAGCATTCAAATGGTGGTGATAAACTAAAAAGTTGTTAAAAGTAAATTCAACTAAGGATTTCATAGAAAAAAGTTCATTTAAGGGTATTCCGTTCTAGTTCAGTTCTAGTTCAGTTCTAGTTCTTCTAGTTCGTTAGTCGTTCTAGTTTCCCGTTCTAGTTCCGTTCTCGTTCAGTTCTAGTTCAGTTCTAGTTCAAGTTCTCGTTCAGTTCTATGTCAGTTCTAGTTCAGTTCTAGTTCAGTTCTAGTTCAGTTCTAGTTCAGTTCTAGTTCAGTTCTAGTTTCAGTTCTAGTTCAGTTCTAGTTCAGTTCTAGTTCAGTTCTAGTCAGTTCTAGTTCAGTTCTAGTTCAGTTCTAGTTCAGTTCTAGTTCAGTTCTAGTCAGTTTAGTTCAGTTCTAGTTCAGATTTCTAGTTCAGTTCTAGTTCAGTTCTAGTTCAGTTCTAGTTCAGTTCTAGTCAGTTTCTAGTTCAGTTCTAGTTCAGTTCTAGTTCAGTTCTAGTTCAGTTTAGTTCAGTTCTAGTTCAGTTCTAGTTCAGTTCTAGTTCAGTTCTAGTTCAGTTCTAGTTCAGTTCTAGTTCAGTCTAGTTCAGTCTAGTTCATTTCTAGTCAGGTTCTAGTTCAGTTCTAGTTCTTTCTAGTTCAGTTCTAGTTCAGTTCTAGTTCAGTTCTAGTTCAGTTCTAGTTCAGTTCTAGTTCAGTTCTAGTTCCGATTCTAGTTCAGTCTAGTTCGTTCTAGTTCAGTTCTAGTTCAGTTCTAGTTCAGTTCTAGTCAGTTCTAGTTCAGTTTAGTTCAGTTCTAGTTCAGTTCTAGTTCAGTTCTAGTTCAGTTCTAGTCAGTCTAGTCAGTTCTAGTCAGTTCTAGTTCAGTTTAGTCATTTAGTTCAGTTCTAGTTCAGTTCTAGTTCAGTTCTAGTTCAGTTCTAGTTCAGTTCTAGTTCAGTTCTAGTTCAGTTCTAGTTCAGTTCTAGTTCAGTTCTAGTTCAGTTCTAGTTCAGTCTAGTTCAGTTTAGTTCAGTTCTAGTTCAGTTCTAGTTCAGTTCTAGTTCAGTTCTAGTTCAGTTCTAGTTCAGTTCTAGTTCAGTTCTAGTTCAGTTCTAGTTCAGTTCTAGTTCTAGTTCAATTCTAGTTCAGTTCTAGTTCTAGGTCAATTCTAGTTCAATTCTAGTTCAGTTCCAGTTCAGTTCTAGTTCAGTTCTAGTTCAGTTCTAGTTCAGTTCTAGTTCAGTTCTAGTTCAGTTCTAGTTCAGTTCTAGTTCAGTTCTAGTTCAGTTCTAGTTCAGTTCTAGTTCAGTTCTAGTTCAGTTCTAGTTCAGTTCTAGTTCAGTTCTAGTTCAGTTCTAGTTCAGTTCTAGTTCAGTTCTAGTTCAGTTCTAGTTCAGTTCTAGTTCAGTTCTAGTTCAGTTCTAGTTCAGTTCTAGTTCGTTCTAGTTCTTCTAGTTCAGTTCTAGTTCAGTTCTAGTTCAGTTCTAGTTAGTTCTAGTTCAGTTCTAGTAGTTCAGTTCTAGTTCAGTTCTAGTTCAGTTCTAGTTCAGTTCTAGTTCTAGTTCAGTTCTAGTTCAGTTCTAGTTCTAGTTCAGTTCTAGTTCAGTTCTAGTTCAGTTCTAGTTCTAGTTCAGTTCTAGTTCAGTTCTAGTTCAGTTCTAGTTCAGTTCTAGTTCAGTTCTAGTTCAGTTCTAGTTCAGTTCTAGTTCAGTTCTAGTTCAGTTCTAGTTCTAGTTCAGTTCTAGTTCAGTTCTAGTTCAGTTCTAGTTCAGTTCTAGTTCAGTTCTAGTTCAGTTCTAGTTAGTTCAGTTCAGTTCTAGTTCAGTTCTAGTTCAGTTCTAGTTCAGTTCTAGTTCAGTTCTAGTTCAGTTCTAGTTCAGTTCTAGTTCAGTTCTAGTTCAGATCTAGTTCAGTTCTAGCTCAGTTCTAGTTCAGTTCTAGTTCAGTTCTAGTTCAGTTCTAGTTCAGTTCTAGTTCAGTTCTAGTTCAGTTCTAGTTCAGTTCTAGTTCAGTTCTAGTTCTAGTTCAGTTCTAGTTCAGTTAGTTCAGTTTCTAGTTCAGTTCTAGTTCAGTTCTAGTTCAGTTCTAGTTCAGTTCTAGTTCAGTTCTAGATCAGTTCTAGATCAGTTCTAGATCAGTTCTAGTTCAGTTCTAGTTCAGTTCTAGTTCAGTTCTAGTTCAGTTCTAGTTCAGTTCTAGTTCAGTTCTAGCTCAGTTCTAGTTCAGTTCTAGTTCAGTTCTAGTTTCTAGTTCAGTTCTAGTTCAGTTCTAGTTCAGTTCTAGTTCAGTTCTAGTTCAGTCTAGTTCAGTTCTAGTTCAGTTCTAGTTCAGTTCTAGTTCAGTTCTAGTTCAGTTCTAGTTCAGTTCTAGTTCAGTTCTAGTTCAGTTCTAGTTCAGTTCTTGTTCCGTTCTAATTCAGTCCTAAGCTGAATGCTCCGGTAGATCCCTCCAAATAATAAATCTTCTAAACACTTAACGAAATTATTGTATTTTTTGGGCAAAAAGGAAAAAAAATCATTGTTGATTAAGGATTACACTTTAGTGCAACAAAGCGGTATATAAAAGTCTATGGGCTGGCAGACGTACAACATCCACGTGACATCATCATACAAAACATTTGATCTGCTTGAGTGCATAACATTGTGTGTTAAATTATGAGGACATTTAGACACAAAACAAAATATTATATTCAAAAGGCACATAAGCACGTATAATGAGTCTCAGGTTGGTATTTAATGCGAATACTTTCACAAATACTAGATATAAACAGTTTTGGTGTACAATACAAAAACAACAACAACAAATAGTAAAAATAATAATACTCGTTATTTGAAATATTATTTCATCATAACAATTTTTTCTCTAAAACAGCCACCCACATGCAGGGTACTACTAAGTACTACACATGGTACATGGCAACATATTTGAATGAGGAAATTTTGTTCTAAAAAATATTTGATAAAAACATGACTGATGTCAGTCATTCAGTTGTTTCGCTTACAAAGTGTGTATAATTTTTGCGGTAGATAAATGTGGCTATTTTTAATTACTAAAATTTATTTATAAAGTGTGTCGTTTTGAAGGAATCTTGATTTTATTGTTAAAAATGTTTTTATTTAATGTGGATGATTTGTAAGGTTTTAATTAAGTGTCCAGTTCCAGTTAAGTTCTGATTCTAGTTCAGTTCTAGTTCAGTTCAGTTCTAGTTCAGTTTAGTTCAGTTCTAGTTCAGTTCTAGTTCAGTTCTAGTTCAGTTCTAGTTCAGTTCTAGTTCAGTTCTAGTTCAGTTCTAGTTCAGTTCTAGTTCAGTTCTAGTTCAGTTCTAGTTCAGTTCTAGTTCAGTTCTAGTTCAGTTCTAGTTCAGTTCTAGTTCAGTTCTAGGTCAGTTCTAGTTCTGTTCTAGTTCAGCTCTAGTTCAGTTTTAGTTCAGTTCTAGTTCAGTTCTAGTTCAGTTCTAGTTCTCTTCTAGTTCAGTTCTAGTTCAGTTCTAGTTCAGTTCTAGTTCAGTTCTAGTTCAGTTCTAGTTCAGTTCTAGTTCAGTTCTAGTTCAGTTCTAGTTCAGTTCTAGTTCAGTTCTAGTTCAGTTCTAGTTCAGTTCTAGTTCAGTTCTAGTTCAGTTCTAGTTCAGTTCTAGTTCAGTTCTAGTTCAGTTCTAGTTCAGTTCTAGTTCAGTTCAGTTCAGTTCTAGTTCAGTTCTAGTTCAGTTCTAGTTCTAGTTCAGTTCTAGTTCAGTTCTAGTTCAGTTCTAGTTCTAGTTTCTAGTTCAGTTCTAGTTCAGTTCTAGTTCTAGTTCAGTTCTAATTTAGTTCTAGTTCAGTTCTAGTTCAGTTCTAGTTCAGTTCTAGTTCAGTTCTAGTTCAGTTCTAGTTCAGTTCTAGTTCAGTTCTAGTTCAGTTCTAGTTCAGTTCTAGTTCAGTTCTAGTTCAGTTTCTAGTTCAGTTCTAGTTCAGTTCTAGTTCAGTTCTAGTTCAGTTCTAGTTCAGTTCTAGTTCAGTTCTAGTTCAGTTCTAGTTCAGTTCTAGTTCAGTTTCTAGTTCAGTTCTAGTTCAGTTCTTATTCAGTATAAGCGACACTATCTTGTTTTTATTAATCATTATCTTTATCATTACTGTACTCATTATTCTGCTCATTAAGCTAATTATAGAATTGCAAAAACTAAAGAAAACATACACCAGAGGATCAATTTCTTTTCCAATTTAACCCATTTAGGTTGTATTTGCCTTGTTCTTTCCTGTAAATTACTTTCACTTTTAAGTTAATTAAAAAGCAGCAATTTTTTCTGTGACATATTTAGAAGCTGAAATAAGTCGTATTTTAAAATCCAACATTAATAGGAATGTCCTGCAACATGCTGCAGCACGTTAATGACATGTTTTTACTTGTTTGCTTTTTAGCTTTATCATGTTCATACTAACGCATTTCAAATACCGCTGGAAAAAAATAGAGAAATGAGGAAATAAAACTACTGAAAAGAACAGAACATTTGTCAGCTGAACTCCCACATGAGCATTTAATTGATGACATTATACACAACATGTGTGTTAAAATGGCAGGTTGAATATTTTCGAAATTTAGTTCTTATTTTTCGACTTTATTGCAATATTTATTTTTTATTCGTCACTTCCGTTTGTTGAATTTTTAACGGCGTTTGGTTTGATGTCTTTAGTTTTTTGCGCTATTTCAGAAAAGGAAGCAAAAATTATAGTTTTTCCTTTCATTAATAACTCAAGCATTGAAG